TATGATTTTCCTAACTAAATTTTAAATAAATATAATTCTAAAAACCTTAAAACTATATAATAAAATTAGTCTTAATATTCAACTATTCTTAGATATTTGGTTTAGAAGTTTTAAATTTTGATTTTGAATGCTTCTAATCAATTTTAGTAATATTCATGTTAAATATTATTCACTTTTAATAGGATTTAGAAAATAACATTAAATTATTAGTGTATTAAAAAAAATTGATTTTAACCTTCAAGAATTATTTATGCTGTGCTAGAAATTTGAAATTATTTTTTATTTCTTTTGGTGCCTCTAGTAATGTAATCAAAAAGAATTTTCAGAACTTTTCAATTTTTACAAATATAAAAAAGTATAAGAATTCGTTTATAATTTTTAACTTTTATTATGTTTTTACTAATTTGGATGTTAATGTATTTTATAGTTATACTTTCTATTTGATATTAAAATATTTTTACATTATCTTATATATTAAATAATATTAAAAACCGATCAATTCGACCGAACCACACCGATCCGATTTAAATTGGATTGGTTTGATTCTCACATAATAATGGATTGAATTGGTTTAAAAATATTATTAATTGATTAAATTGAATTGATTTAAAAAATAATAAAATCTGAATCAAACCACACTGCGAACACCCTTAATATTGAGGCACTTATAATTAACTAAGGTTTGGGTCCTATATATTTCTCTTTCTCTATCATATTACTTCATTTTTTTATCTTTTTCTGGCGAATTGTGATTTCTCATTTAACCGGATCTATCATCCAAATCATCCAAGTCAAGCAGGAGAACCTAGCATGCTGTATCAAATACTAATTTCTGACAAAAATTTTCTAACCCCTAACTTAGCGCCATATACAGAAAGAGACAGTGAGGTTGATTTTGGCTTAGCAAAGCTTTTAATTCTATCCCTTACATCCCTCTGAACTTTGGTCAAAATTGTAATTTCTGATCTAAATGTCTGCTGATGGATATGCGTACTCCTTTCCATCCAAACGTGATACACATCAATTGATCGATCGGATACGCCTCTTTCATGTCACTTATTTCACATCTATATGTTAAAATTCGTTTTTTATCTAATGATCAGCTTTATACAATGACTTTTTATTGTTAGTAATAGAATTTCTGTGTTCGTTAAATAAAATCCTACTCTTCATCATTAAAATTCAAGGCACCATCACATTAGATGCAGCATCAGCAGCAACACGAGTACAATTGGACTCCAAACCCCTCAAGAGCATCTCCTCCGAAACAATTCCAATATCATCAAGCGCGCATCTGTTCTCAAATTTTTCACTTTTTATATACAATGTGATCAATTCTATGAACCAAACGTAAATAAAATACAATACATGAATAGGAGAGAAATATTTTCCCTTTTTCCTTGGTTTAAGAGATTATCAAAAAAAAAAAAAAAGTCTCCGATGTACAATAGATTAACACATAGACAAACTCCTTTTTTCCTCTGCACAGACCAAAAAAATTTGTAAGACTTCTCCTGCACCCTTTAAGTCATCACATACCACGAACATCACGTCCTTTGGGACTGAAACATGTTTACCATATTGGAGGCAACTTCTATCCATGGGAACATGTTAATATTATGGGCACTCAAGAACAACTCGCTAGCCCTATCCAAAAAATCTACTCGATCTCCATCCTTCTGCATCCGCGCTATCTTTCGACATTTCAGCAAGCCGATGTAGGTTTGGAGATCATGAACACAGGAAGGGTTTTGCATGTTGAAGAAATCAAGGACTATTTCCACACCCACATGAGCATAACACGAGCAGCTCCATGGAAGCTCAAACTTCCCTCCCAAAACCTTGAATTTCTCATTAAAGAAAACCCCAGGTAGCTTTGTGATGGGGTCATTTACGTTTACTATTCTCAATACCTTCACTCCTAGATCTTCGCATCTCTCCTTGAAGGCTGAATTTCCCACTCTTGGACCGCCAAATGAGAAAACAGTGACTGGAATTTCTCCGTCCATTTCCTTTCTGTTCAGACCGAGCTCAGCTATGTCATAAGCAAGAAGGACAGCCAAAGAACTTCCCATGCTATGACCAGCCAAGGTTATGGTAACATCCTCACCTTTGTACTCTTTTAACAACCGTGAAACCTCAGACAATAGCTGCTGTCGGCAACTTCCTAGTCCGAATTTGTCATTTTCATCAGAGGTATACAAGCTTAAAAACCCTGCCTCCACCTTCACGTCTAGCCTCGGGTCATAAGGGTCGAGCCGTGCTGGAGTCAGCGAGCTCATAAGGTTAGTGATCCATTCAGGATTCGTGACTGTTCCCCGGAAAGTAATCATTATGTCTCTCCTCCCAAGCCGCCTGACAGCATCATCTGACGCCACAGCCACGTATCCAATCCACCGACCACATGATTCCCCATTTGGGATTGGGATATCGATGTCTGGGGTAGCGTAGATGTACTTGGTTACTTGGTAACCACAGTCTTCCATCCCTATCTCCCTCAGCATACTCCTCCTTCCATACTTGCAATTCAAGTAGCGTTTTGAGTTGGGGTCGAGATCGAAAGCTTTATAGCATGCAGCCACGAACTCACCATAGCGAATGATTTCTTTCCGGAGAAGAGGGTGCAAGGGTTCAACTAGGTCTTCCCAGTTGTTTAAGCCTTGAATCTCCCTCCAGAAACAAGCCAAATTATAGTCATAACTAGTACTCGCTGCAGCCGCCCCCATAGATGGAGCTGCCACAGAAGCAAAATTTACGAGTGACTGTTTAGGAGTCATAGTTTTCTTGGGCAAGTGGACTTGGCCAAACGGGTGAGAGTGGGAGCGAACTTCCGTTGGAAATCCAGTATGGTTTATGGTCGGCCTCGGCACCATACCTTTGGTAGCCATTGGAGATGGAAAAAGAGAGAAATGGAAGGAGAGGAGATGAAAGAGAAGGCACAAAGGGTTTTTCTTGGGGAGAAAGAGGAGGGAGAGATGGAATTTTATACAAGGAAGCATGGAGGGGAACATGAAAGAAAAAAAAATTAAAAAGATGAGTTTGGCGAGTTTTTGACTGAGAAATTGAAATTCCAAGGTGGGGTCGAATATTTTATGTGGTCGGTTGGATTTTGTGTCCCATTTTCGAGAGTGGAGTTGTCGCGACTGTGGTTTATGGTGGTGGTCCAAGGATAGTTTTTTTGTTTTAATTTTTTTATATAATTTATATATATTATTAAATAAATA